CACACACACACACACACACACACACACACACACACACACACACACACTCTGAGCTTTTCAGCTTTCAGGCTGGCACGGTTTTAAATGCAAGGTGTGTTTCTGATTAACAGCACAGACTGTTCGTATCCTTATTGTGCTCACTCATTCAGAGAATTCAGACGATAACAAAGAGCATATCTAGGCCAAGGACAAAGTGTTTTATAGTTTATAGAAAATGTGAAATTTAGGTGTCATTGTACCTCCCCCCTCTCCTCCTTCTCTTCCTCCTCAACTCCACCCCTATTCTTTTGGGAGTCTGCTAACGTAGCAGCGTGCACTTAGCTAAAAGCATCGCCATATTTAGGGCCTCTCCCCCACGCAGGTATTCCCTCCCTCCTCTTCCATTTCTTCATCTCATTTCTCCCTTACTTTGAGAGGCCTCTTAATCACTTCACTCATCTCTTTAAGTGGGTTTTTATGGTGGGCCATCTGGCCAAGGTGGTGCATTCATGAAGGTGCACTGCTGTGTGTGATTATCGGTCTGTGTGTGTCTGTGCACATGTCTGTTTCTGTCTGGCTCTGTCTTTGCAGACAGATGTTACACCAAACTTTCCAACGCGGCTCCCTTTTTTTGTTTTGTTTTGCTAATAAACGTGGACCCGAGTGCAATTTAACCTGGAAACGTACAAATGTGTGCACTTTAGAATAGTTAAGCAAGCCCTAGGGGGCAAATTTAGGCTTTTTGAAATATATTTTGGAGGATTTGCACAAGTGCGTCAAAATTCAGCTGTCACAGCATGTCACAGCACAACACTCCCTCCGCAAAGAAAATGCTCAAATTTTGCTTCATGGTTTCTTACTCGCCTTCTGCCCAATCCTGAAATGCCAGCCGCACGTACACATCACCCATTAGTGCCAGCTGTGATTAGTGTGTGTATCGTGTGTGTTTTGTGTGCATGTGTGAGAAAGAGAGATATTGCATAGTCTCACATCCAACCTTTCACTCTGTCTCTCTCTCACACCCACACTGCTGTCACCCACCCATCCCGACAGTGAATGAGCCATCATGGCAGCTTTGCCTGAGGCGTTGGCACAATGGACAGTACTGAAGTTACCTCCTGTCCTGCATGATGGGTGGTGTTTGTGTGTGTATGGGTCTCCTTTGCTTGTCTCGGGGTTAAGCGTCTGCTTCCGCTCTCCACACCTGCAAGCTGAGTATCCCTCCCTTCATCCATCCATTCCTGTTCTTCTTTACCCCCACACACACACACCTTTTTCTAGCCCAGAAGAAAGTTGAGGCCATTGTCGGGCTGAGCGGTGTTGGGTTCTGTTCTCCTGCTGCTGCCAGCTCTCCCTACGGCCCCTGCAAAACAAGGCTGTTATTGCCCCAGGGACCGCAGGCCTCAGCAGCTCTTCCTCCAAACAAATTTGCTGTAACTTTATCTGCAATTGGGCCTCGAATTGGGAGCAAATAGAGGCGGCTTTGTGAAGCTCAAGGAAGGGCGAGGGCAGCGAGCTGGGGGTTGTTGGGGAGGCAGGGGAAATGATACCGGGCTCTTTTATGTCAGGCAAAGTAGGACTCTTATCAGGAAGAGAGCCCAGACAAGGGAGCTGCTTCTGGAGGAAACTGGAGCACCTATCACCTGCTTTGCATTTAGATAAAAATTCACCCTGCTGAAATAAAAAAAAGAAGGTAAAAAACCAGCAAAGACGGGTACAGAAGCAGCCGTTCGAGTGCGTATATGAATGTGTGTGTGTTTGTACATGTCTGGCTGACAGTTTGATGCACACACACAGCACCGAGACGCCACAGCAGTCAGTGGTGCACACCACTCCGGGTCTCTTTAAATTGCTCCTTTGACTTCCCTTCAAAGAACCCCTCTAACTTTTTAAAAGTTTTAAAGTCGGGAGTGTGTCTTTGCCCACAGCAAGGGACAGCTTTGAAAGATATACTTTCACATTTCGCTGCTCTCTTCATTTACAAAAACGGGTGTTAGTTGAAATGTGACGGCATGACTAATAGAGAATACCAAGTCAGGGTTTAATCACCGGAGACACTCGGCAGGAAATGAGTCCCTTTTTGTGCAGGATCCTCACTGCTGATTGTTCTTATAGAGAACCTTATTTTAGCATGTCCTAACAGGATGATTGCTTTGTTCTGCAGCTGAACAGCAGGGGGCAGTCCAGCTCCACTGAACAATGAGCAGGTCTGGTCACAAACAGGACAGTGCCCCCCCCCCCCCCTCCCCACAACCTCCCCATCCCCACTCCTTCATGTTTCCTCGAACTTAACAGGACTCCTGCTCGCTGTCTGGCAACGCTTAGTGCCTGCATGGAAATTGATGTAAGAGAGATAAAGGGGAAGTCTGAAATCCAAACTTCAGCTTCACTCCACTGAGACAAAGCAAGGGGGGGAAAAGTTAGCTTGGTGTGTGGTTAATGTAAGCCAAAGTACTGAATATTACCCTCCCACAGTGCTGCTGCAAAAGAGCCGCCAGGACACGGGGTTGTGTTTTCAACCCAGTAATGCATCTCACAAAGTGTCACAGGAAGCCCTGGAATAAATCATCTGAAACTTTTTGCATTGTGAACATTTTAATGCGTTTTCTTCTGTTTGGTTTGTTTTCTAATAGTGAGTGAAAAGCACCAAAGATCATCTGATGACAGAAACAAGTCAAGTGAATTGGATTTGTTGGTTTGAGGGGTGCTGATATTTTATTTCAAATACTACAAAACTGCTTTTCTTTGTTTGTGCTTTTTATTTTAATTGTTTGAGTCATTTGAATTCCAGCTTCAGATGTTAAGTTTGCCCAGTTCAGTTGTTTCTAAGCAAGTTTTTTTTTTTATTATTATTTAAAAGTGGATGTTTTAATTTAGCTTTTTAACAAGTGATTATTTTGTTTAGATTTTTTTTATGTTAAAATAAATAAATGATGGTTTTATCATTTTTATGACAATTAAGACTTGCTGAGTAAAAGTAAATGCTTCCTTTCTCAATTCTCAATGGCTTTTAAATTGTCACAACTATTAGTTTTGCTGACAACATTAAATGTTTGATACAAAAAATACCAATGTTTGTTATTTGGACAATTTTTTTCTGATAATAATTGAATCACATAAAAAAGAAACATTTTAAGCTATTTCAGATGCGATGACTAATAAAGCATTTATCTAAATTCAAACCTAAATTGAAAAAAAAAGCAAAATTTGCCAAATATGCACACACAATGAAATAATGAAAATAAATAATTGCCAAACAGTTATCATAAGAGCTCAATAATATAAAAAATAAAACGCAAGATGAGGCATTCCAAGCCTTTATGTTCACATGTCCACTATAAACAGATGTTTTATGGGTTTCTGACCACACAGAGCACAAATTATTCCCATCTCCTACATCTGGACTTTTATTTAGCATGTTCCTTTTTACCCATTTTAACTCGTATGTTTGTATAGTTGCTGCTTTCCCCTCCACTCCATCTTTCTCTGGTCACTGACATCCACAGCAGGCTCCTTCCCGCTCCCATCTCTCCAGGCGAGGGAGCTTCCTATCTGGAGAAGTGAGCGACGGGGGGGCGGCTGAGATTGCCTAGTCTTGGTGGAAAGGTCCAGGCACCGCAGGGCCCCACTGTCCAGCCAGTGGGCACAAAGACGATACAGGGCCGCGGCCACCGCTGAGCTCGGGTGTCCAGTTCCTCTAGCTGCCAGTCAAAATGTCCCCCTCAGCCACTTCAGCCAAATGACGGAAGGAGAAAAAAAAGGAGGATGACAACTTAAACAACCCCAGGCGCGCACACGCACAAAGAAATTTAAAACAGCATAAAAGCTTTACAAGTTCACTGTAAACACGAGCGAGGCGCAATTAATGCTTCTGGTGCACGATAATAATACGAACGATTTAGACAACCAGGCAATGTGTTTACACTGCAATGCTCGCTGTAAGTTATATTTATAGCAGCGCGTTTGAACGGAGCACTTGTGTATCTGCATGTGCAGTTATTTATAGAGCCTACCAGAATAGCTTTAAAGCAAAGTGAGCTCTTCTGTTTGTTCAGCTGAAGTCAAGTCCTTGCACCTCCATCGCACGCTGTTTAGTCAGAGATTATTCCAGAGTTCATCAGTGTTACGGATCAGATTCCTATATTATTTATCAGCAATAGCTTGCAGACAACAAAAAAAAAAAAGGATTTTTGAGCGTGTTTATGCAATTGTCTATGCTCTCAGTATTGTAAATGTTTTAACGACGAATAAAGAGGAGTTGTTGTGCTTGTTAGTACACAATAATGAATTATTAAAACTGTTTCTCTTACACAGCTGTATCACAGGAGGACTGTGTGTCTGAGACTGTGAAGAGATGTGAATCCTTTTGGGAGATGTAGTCTCTGCACACCCCCCATGCAGGTTCATTTGAAGAAATATACCTTTGAGTTTTATGCTAATAAACCGGACATGTCTTGATGTTTTATTTATCTGTTTGTTTAGCTAAGATTCATTGTTTTTTTTGTGGTAAATTTTACATGAAGTTGCAACTTTTTATTCGGAGTTTAAATGTGAGCCGGTCTGAGTTTTCTGCACAAGACGCTGTTTGTAACGACCCTCAGACACGTTTGTTTGCGGCCGCTCGGTGTCTTTATGCTCTTCAAATGAGCCCTGCACACACACACTGTTGTTGAACCACATCTTCACATTAACCTTAGGCTGCAAAAATAATGAAGGGCTTGATGTTTGTCTTCGCTCCTCTCACACATTCACATGCACGCTAAAAAAATAAAACGGTTTGATTGTTGATTATGAGGCATCCGCTCCATCTTGTCAGTATTGTTCAGCTAACAGGATAAATTAATTGCTACACAGACCAGTAAATCTTGTTTTTTCATACACATATATAGTAATAGTCTCAATCATGACACTTTTAAAACTTCAGTATCAAACTCAGTTGTTAAACAAAGTAATTATTATCAAATTTTTGCTTATTTTGTTTTAATTGATTTGTTGTACTTGGATTTTATGAATATTTTGCTTTGGAAGACGCCGAGCGTTAGACGCGGTTTGTATTTTCATCATTCGTTATAATTGCTGCTGAGTTTTTATCAGCCTTGATCTAAATTAAAAAAAAAAAAAAACCTCTAAACACAATACCATTAGAAAGAGTAAATATTATTTTGTTCTGGTTGTTTCTGACAGATGCTATTCCCTCACAATGCTCCATCTCAACTTTTCAACAATAATTCACTCAAAGCCGTCTCACAATTGGCACAATACTGCGATTTAAAAAAAAAAAAGCTATCATCATTAGCAATTTTACTTTCCCACAGATTTCTTCTCCCAACCACTGAAATCTGTTGTAAGGAGGCTAAAGAGCCTCTTTCAAAACAAGAATACAGGGTTTAGGAAAAGGTTAATTTTCAGATGGTGCTCTTCTTGTTCGGTGATGAGAGGGGAGGTGTAGAGGTTATGGTTTTGGCAGATGGGTGCAGAGGAGGTTAGAGACGGGCCATACGAGTCTTTTGGAGAAGGAGAAGTGGGTATTGGGGCTTGGAGTGACAGGGTTAGAGACTCGGGTTGTGGGGTGTTTAAGGTCAGCGTCTCGAGTTTGGGTCTGAAGCTCAGAAGGGTCAACTTTGATGTGCTGTATCTGAACCAGTACATGACCTCAGACTACGAGATGATTGCCACGAAGGAAAGAGACTCTGACGACTCCAACCCATCCTCAAAAGCCATGCTTTTATTGCGTTTTGTTCCTTGGAGTTGAGGTTTTTCCAAATTATTAATGTTTGATTTCCAAACACATACAATCTTTCGTGGTCAAACTCCACCCTGATTAAATGTTTGCTCTCTTAGCAGCACCTTTTCTCCAACAGTTTTTTCTTTTATATATATGTGTGTGTGTGTGTTCTCGCAGATCTTCGTCATCGTTGTTTGGAACTTTGAGATTTATATGATTCCTCTGGCTTTGCTGCTGCCGCTGGCCTGGAACTACGTCCTTATTGCGTCGGGGAAGGACACGAGACAAGACGATGTGAGTAGCCTCAACTCAGTGTTCATTCTTTTATTTTAAACTGTAAAAGCCCACTTTCAAAACGATGGCAGATCAAAAATCGACCAGCGTTATCATATTTGGACCTTACACTTTGAATCGACTTTAATTAAAATGCTTATATTCTTCTGGGCTTTAAACAAACAATGTATTTCTTCACTTGAAGAAATATTCAGATCATACTAATCAGTTGTACGGTTGAGTAAGAAAGCAGCGTGCTGTTCTTAAAATAAAATAAAATAAAATCCAGAGCGCACCTTTTGATTAAATTGTGCTTGCAAGCGTTGAGCGGAATCAAAATTAAATTTAAAAAGAAAAAGAAAATCTATCTGCCAATTTTTGTTCATGAAAAACTCCATCTGCCACTTGAGGAGCTGCATTCTCGCTGCATCCCACATTTCTCACTTTGCCTTCTTTTGAGCCTAAGAGAAGGGAGAAATAATAGGCTGTCACCTTGAGCTATGTTACGCCACTTACCTGGTAGTATATTTATTTAATTCATTTATTTTTTTTATCTCTTATACCAATTAAATGATGTCAAAGCAATGTCATGGAGAAACAGACGTGTTTTAATCATGGCCAGCCACATTTGGAGAGCAGCAAGTGAAGACGAGGGAGAGAGCTGGACTATGGAGTGAGCGTGAACAATGAAGTGATTAATTTTAATAAGTGCCTTCTTCCAAGACTCAGTCGGAAATAACCCGTTACGAGACTTCAGATTTTCTTGCAGCCTTGCCTTCTGTATGTATATTTATCTCTTCCTAAGGAATCTTTGGGTTAGATTGGATTGGATTTGGAAGCCGCATTAAATTCTGTCATTATAATAAACCGAATCTAACAGCTGTCGGTCATTGTAATGTTACACATAAAAATGGAATTAGAAGTGAACTGTACATGACACACTGTAGCTCTGTTAGGTCCTTGGAGCTAATCTACTCTGTTTATAAGCCTCTGTTATCATTTCTCATTTAAAGTGTCATTAAAATGAGCAAAAATGACACAATTTGTATAAATCTTCACATTAATCTCTAAAAAACTATTCAGCTCCTTAAAGTGTATATTAGAGGGTTGTTTACTAAATAAGTCAAGACTTAAAGGTTTACAGGCAAGTTCAAGGGTGGATGAGACAGAAACTGAGAAGAGTTCCTCATCTCACCTGTAGATGGCGACATTGCTTGTGGAAATTTAGAGCTACAAAAATTAATAAATCCCCGCTTCCTTTAAAACAAAACCCAGCTCGATGGTTTGTGTGCACACAAACTTTACTGTGCACATCTTAAATAAAATGAGGCACCAGAGTTTACACATGCTTGTAATGTTGAAGTCACTTCACATAAAATGAAGTGCTTTTCACTTAATGCACAGCAGCTTGATTTATTATTTATGTTTAATGATTCTGTGCAGTTTGAGACACTCTAGCTTAACTTCTCAAAACTTAACATGTATCACTCTCTGCCTTTATGACCATTATGACTGTGCTTAAAAGCATTTGTTCAACCAGACCTTCTTTCAAACAAATATTTTCTATTACGAGTATTAATGTATGTAACAGAGTGAGTTTGCTGCGTGCAACACACCTTGCACTTTGACGGTGTAGATTATTTTGTGTTGGGGTGTTCAAGCTGGTGTTGTCTGGTGCAGGGCATGCTGTTTTCCACTGATGGTGATATAATTAGAGGAAAATATGTGAAAAAGCAAATGAAATAGCATCAACTTGTAGTTCTTATTAGTGAACATGCAGGTCTGTGCATTACTCATTGATTCTGATTTTTCCCTTTTGATGAATGTTAAAATTGAACTATAATTAAAATATAGATTAAAGCTAATGCATACACAGATATGACTAATGCTTTCAAGTTTATGTATGTTTGGAAAGATACTCAAAGAAGATTCTGTTTGTGTGTATTTGTAGCTCCTTTTTGAGTTTACCTGTGCACTAATTGACTGAAAATCCTTTGCAGTAGCATTGTTGATGGGAGTGGGATTATTTGACAAAGATTATCACGTTTATTTGTTCTTTTCTTGCTGCTGTGACCATTGTGTTCAAGAATAAAAAAAGCAGCTCTGAAGACACAATGAAAGAAATTATGATAATTGTAGTCCCTCTTGTTTTGAAGTTGCAGTTATGCTGTCTCCTAACGAGTGAATGTGATGAACCAATTGTTCCTCGCCTCATTATCAGCTTTCTTCACCGCTCAGTAAAAATATTACCTTCTCATATCAAAATGTGGCACGTGCAGTAAAAGTAAAGTTTGTTGTATACGTTTGTCTTTTTTAAAGGCTCTGCACGCACTTGAACTCGTACTTTCAGGTGCAAGAATCCCCTGGGTCCTGTCCCTGTTTGTTTTCGGTTTCTCCATCTGTAGGATGCAAAGAGGTGGAGGTTTGATCACATCGAGAACACACAGTGTCTGTGGTTCCCTGGATTCCTCTTCCGAGTCTTTATCAGGCTGAAGTCACGGTCAAAAGTTTCCCTCCTGAACTTGGCTGAGAACAGAGAGGAACAGAAAAGAAAACAGAGGGAAAAGGCGTTCTAATTACTTTAAACAACGCACCAAATTAAAGCATTGTGCTGAGCCGAACGAGAGGTCAGCATCCGGAGCACCACGGTTTTCCAGCAGCTTGGGTTGTGGGTAATGCCAAAGGAATCTCTGCTGAACTCACTCACGGAGAGAAAAGAGGGGCAGGGGGTTGGAATAAGAAAAAACAAAAAACCCACATCATGAGTACAGACTTCTTAATGAACTGGCCTTGACTCTTCTGATGGGTTCAACGTGCCAACCCTTCCTCTGGTTTTACACTGCAGCCACAGTTCATAGTCCCGTCTGTAGCAGGTAAACAAACGCAGTGTTCTCTAATTCACCACCCAGGGTCACTGACTGTTGTGCGGTTACATGCTGCTTTGCAAACAGATCCCAGATCAGAGCTCCGTACCCTAGCCCCAACCTTGACCAGTGCCTGCTAAGCAGTGAACGCGTCCTTAAAACAGCGATTAAAGGAGGCTCTGCACCAGCAAGGTCCCCGACCTCTTCTCTTATCTTGTAGCACTCTGACCTGCGAACGCTGACTCTTTAACACCGTCAGATGACCTGCGTGTCATATACTGCAACATGTTCACTGAAACAAACAGGACCGTTCCTGTTCCCTGGTTTTAACCCAGGTTTTTAATCTTAGACATTTAAAGCTGATAATCAAGGAATACATCTTGCCTGCCAGCATTTGTAATCAAGTCTAATTTGGTTGAGAGAATTTTAATGGCATTTCTTTATGTTTTAAAACTTGGAGTAATCTGATGTTTGATTCTATTCCTTACCAGTTTAGAAAGCCACAGTGACATTGGTTAGTTCTTTGCCTTCTCCCGTTTGGAAATCTGAAGTTTTATCATGTTTCCTATTTGAAAACAGTAATTACAAAAGAGCAATGGATGGAACAAGGAGTCATGTGTATCCAAGCTGTTGTGTCATGTCAAAAAGAAATCTAAATAAAAAAGCATAATTTGTTTTGATATAGTTCATTAATGTGTAAAATGTAGTGGATAGTCTAAGTAATGGATTAAACAGGACAATTACCATAGTCAACAGTATTACAATCAGATGTTTAAAGGCACAGCTGCAATGACTTCCTTTGAAAGTGACAATTTGGATTCTTTAAAGTGGGTTTCTGTGAAAAAGCTACATGCAGTTAATATCTTACCTGTTGGAGATAGCTCTTTAAATCTCAGTTTGGAAGAAATAAGGATTATTTCTGATTATGAACAGACTGACGAGCTAAGTGCTTGAACTAGCGGTTAGCTCATCTGTCTATTCAGAATTAACTTTATTTCTTCAAATTAAGGTAATTAAAAGAGCTATCTACAGCAGTTAAGATATTGTTTTATTTTATTTATTTTTTTGATAACCTTTTCCACAGAACCCTATTTTAAAAGCTTAATTTAAACTATTCCTTTAGCTCTTGATGCCATGCCCATCTTTTGTTCACACTCTTGCTTTTTTATTTTTATTTAATTTATTTATTTTTAAATTATACTGGAAACTATTTAACTACAGCGTATAGAGTTTGGTTGGAATCAGAAGTTTACAAGCTGCATGAACCCACATCCGGGTATCGTTCCACAGCAGTGTTTTGTATTAATTTATGCTTGCTGTGAGAGGGAGAGTATAAAACGGGCTCTGCGTTTAACAAGCAGGGACACATCCCAACAGATATCCCTTCTTGCTGTTCACTTGGCCCAGAAAAGCCCCAACCAGATGTTATAAAGGTGTTACTTTTAGCGCAGGCTGTTACACGGGCTACATATGGAACATGGTGATGTCTCTCTCTACCAAAAGATGACGGGCAATTAGGCCTCGTCACACTGGAGGACCATCCTCTTTATCCCATGCTTCAGACCATTACACTGATTCACCCATTGGATCTGCCAACCTATTACGGAAGAGAAGACCTTAATGGCCTGAAGATGCTTCACATTCAGAAATGGCAAGAAAACCTGCTACTTTTAACCCGCTCTACATCTTAAGTATAAGTATTTGATAAGAATAAATATAGAGTTCAATATCCCTGATAGTGCTTGGTTATCCACTAATCAATCATTTACTATTACTGCTGTTTTAATCTGTGCTTACTGAGTGAAGTGAGTGATGCTGTTTATTAGTGTAAAAGGATGGCACTGCTGCATATTTTTTAAAAACATTTGATCATTTCTAGAACAAGACCTAATTGCCAGTTTATGCTTTCTTCCTGACTTTGCTTCTCAGACACATTCTCTGCGTCCCTGAACGCACCGCGTCTTGACATCTGCCCTCATTAAGGGGCACGCAGAACACCGGTAGAGGAGAGTAAACATCAGGAAAGCTGAAAGCAAAAGAGAAAATGCTATGCCTATCACACCTCGTCTACCTTCAGGAAGTCACACCTTCAAACCCCCCCCCCCCCCCACACACACACACACACACCAAATACAGACTCTGGAAAGACAAGGAGAA